TCAACTCCTAGTAGACTTTGAGCTTCATTATATGCCCGTTGAAATACAACAGCATACTAAATGGCACTCCTATAGATGCCAGGACAGTTTCAAGACTGATCATAAAAGGTCAAAGGATAAGTGATGGCCCAATTCTTGGGAATCCCAGCCCCAAAGTAGTTATAATAATCCTCCCAGTTGTTAGCACATGAAGTTACCAAGTGCATAAAAACTAACAACCTTGCACCCAATGGGCTCTTTCTCTCTGTCACTCTCTCTTGTCTTCTGGATGACGGGCACTCTGTCTATGGAGTGTGCATCTCTCTGAATAAATCTACTTTTATCCAACTATGGCTCACTTGAATTCTTTTCTGCACAAAGCCAAGGACCCTCACTTGGCAGGATGTTTCCCAGGAACTCAACTGAAACCTGGGACACATCCATCCTCCCGTAGCCCCATTTTTCCTGTAACACTCAGATCAACCTCTTGTGGATCAAAATTTTGATATATCAAATGTATTTGATATATTTGATAAATATGACTGTATATATACACATACATGCATGTGTGGTATTGTGATTTATAGTAAAAAAATATATATATGGTTTTCATCCCATTTCTGGCCCAGAACCCCTAAAACCATTCGAATTTCCTAAGTGATGAGAGCCATCAGCATGTGTTTTGTTATATTAATGAGCTGACTTTTGGAAAGCACCTAAGGATGGGGATCAGTTGCCAGGGTAGCCAATCGTGTGATAAGAGGGTTGGAAAATTCAGTCCCACCTCCTTAACTTCTAGGGAGGGAGATGGGCTTGTGGTTGAATCAATCATCAGTGGCCAATGAATTAATCATTCATCCCTATGTAATGAAGTCTCCATAAATTCCCAAAAGAATGAGGTTCAGAGAGCTTCTGAGTTGGTGAATACATGGATATTTGGGGAGAGTGACCCACCTGGAGAAGGCACAGAAGCTCCATACCCTTCCCCGTACATTGTCTTGTCCATCTCTTCTATCTGGCTGTTTCTGAGTTAAATCCCTTTATGATAAACTGGTTTTCTAGTAAGTGAAATGTTTCTTTGAGTTCCGTGAGCCACTCTAGCAAATTAATTGAACCCAAGGAGGGGGTCATGGGAGCCACTGATCTATACCCAGTCTGTCAGATGTACAGGTAACAACCTGGACTTGGAATTGGCATCCTGAGTTGAAGGAGGTCTTTGGAACCTCCAACTATAGCTGGTCAGTCAGAAGCACAGGTGATAACCTGGGTTTGCAACTGGCATCTAAAGGGGTTAAGGAGAAGTGTTGTTGGGCTGACCCCTTACCTGTGGGATCTGATGCTATCTCCAGGTAGATCAAGTGAGATAGTGTCAGAATTAAGTTAAGTTGTGGGACACCCAACTGGTATTCCGAGAATTACTTGGCAGTGTGTGGGGAAGGACCGCCTCACTCAACACACACACACATTGAAATTGGGTCAGGAACTCAAAAACAGCATGTATCTACACACAGATAATATGGAACAAAGGTTTCATGAAACAGTAACTTACTCTTACTACAGGCAAAACATTCTAATATTTTCTAATCTATTTTATTTCATTTTTTTCTAACACATTGGCCTCCACTAATGTACTGTGACCTGCAGTCTGAAAAAAAAAAAAAAAACTCTTCTCAGGAGAGTTCCTAGAACTTGCTCCTCCTGCTGAGAATCTGCTTAATTTGTCATTGTTCGCACACCGGGTAAAACCCTTTTGTTCTGCTAGACATTTGTATAATTTCTCTATGTCATAAACCAGTATGAAGCAGATTTTTGTTGTGTCCACAATGGCAAACAGTCCACAGACTGAGGCCTGAGGTCTGTTTAACTGTATTCAAGAAATCTTTACACCAATACTTCCTGACTCCATTCTGATAAACTTGTTAAACGCATTGTGAGTTACGGGGGATACGAGGGGGGTAAATGCAAAGCACTTTAAAATAAAATTTTAGCATTATCTCTGCTGCTTCCAGAATGAAAACTACAATATTTTCCTTAGGACAAAGGGACAGTGCCTCATGCCTGGAGGAAGGGATACTGGTTCCTTGCCTGATGACAGTTTAACACAGTTTAAGGTGCACAATTTCCATTGTGTCCTACCATGGCCGGACTCTGTGTGGGCAAGGCCCCTGCTTTCTGGATGCCTCTAATCTTGTAATTTATTTGCAGTCCATCATTGGAAGTAGGTTTTTTATATAGTTGTGTGTGCAGTAGGCGACCGGAATCAGGGAGCCCTTCTGCCTGCCACAGCAGAAATGTGGAAGGCAGATGTGACACTTGGACAGAACTTGGACTCAGAAAACTGGAGTTTGCAGGTTCTGCTCCTTGTGAGTTACACTGCCTTGGGAAAAAAGCATTTAACTTCTTTGACCCTCAGGTTAATAATAAACATGCAGGGTATTGTCATATGTCAGACACAGTACCAGATTTTAAAAGACAGAGATGACTAAAATATAGTGCATGCCCCTGAAATAGAGATGATAATACTATAATACTGTTCTCATAGTGTTATTATCAGAACTAAAAGAGAGAACAAACTGGAAACACCCAGCACAATGTTTCACCCATGTTAGGATTATTTGTTTCTTTCTTTCTGTATTTGAATCCATTTTATTACAAAATAGAACATGCAGGGAAGTGCAAAAATGTGTATGTTCAGCTAAATGAATTATGAAAAAGTAAACATTCATGTAACTGAAACCAAGAAATAGAAACAGAACATTGCCATTACCCCAAAAGTCCTACTTGCTCCACCTAATTTACAACCCCTCTTACCCGCTAAGGTAGCACTTCCTTGGCTTTTACTCTGTCTTGTTTTCTTTATATATCTGCATATAAATTTTTTAACCACATAGGCACACATCCTAAATATTATAGTTTTATTTAGCCTGATTTTGAACTTTTTATACAATCTGTTCTAGCTGGCTTCTTTTACTTATCACATTATTTTAAAAATTACCCGCATTGTAAATGAGTTGTAGTTCAATTCATTTCTGTTGCTGTATAATATTCATTTGAATAAATATACCACATTTTCTATTTTAATCCACTCTATCATCTATAAACATTTGGTTCGTTTCCACTCTTTGGCTATTACACAAAAGGCTACAATTAAAATTTTTGTCCATGTCTTTTGGTACATCTAAGTTTGCATTTCTGTAGAGTATATACTGAGGAGAAGAATTGCTGGGTCATAGAACACATATATCTTTGTTCTTGCTTACATAATGTCTGTCTTCCAAAGTATTTGCATCAATTACACTCTAATCCACAAGACGTAAGAGTTGCTTTTGTACCACATTCTCACCAACTCTTGGTATTGTCAGACTTTTAATTTTAGCCATTCCAGTGGGTACAGATCTCATTTTAGATTAAATCTCACACTCCTGATTACCAATAAGACTGAGCACCTTTATCAGCCATTTGCATTTCCTCTTAAGGTTTTGCCCTACCTTTTTCGAGTTGTCTTTTTCATAATGCTCTGTAGATAATCTCTTTGTTAGTACATGTAATAGAAATGTTATGCAAATAACTTCTCCCACTCTGAACCTTGTCTTCAGTATCTTCCTAGTGTCTTTCGATGAACAGAAGTTCACAATTTTAATATTAGTCCACGGTATCAATTTTTTCCTTAATTTTAAGTGCTTTCCTTTGTCCTAACAATGGTTTTTTAGAAGATCTTTTACCTCACTGCACTCCAGCGCTACTTCTGTGATAAATCAAGCTTCCATATATGTAGAGGTCTGTTTGCAGGTTTTCTTTATGGCTCCATTGATCTATGTGTCTATTATTGTAACAGTCCCACAAATCTTGTATATCCACAGTGATTTTTATCTACTTATAATCAGTTACCAAAAAAAGTATGTTACAATTTCTCAATGTGATTGTAAATTTGTTTATTTCACTTTGTAACTATCAATTTTTGCTTCCTACATGTGAAAGCTATTAGATGCATACAATTTTTCATTTTTTATAAATTTCTTGCAAATTGATCTTTTTTATTATCCTTATTTCTAATAATTGAAATAGAAAATTTTGTCTTCATACCTTCTATGTTTTTATTTTCTAAATGTGTTTCTTGTACAGCATCTAGTTGCAACTGTCTCAAAATTTTTGCCTTTTAATAGAATCATTTAGTTTACTTACATTTAATATAATCTGGGATTCATTAGTTTATACCATTATCAATCTATTGCCTTTCTGCTTCACACTCACCTTCATTGCAAGCCTGTGATATTGGAAAATATCTCCCTTGACAGGTGGCACAATGCTAAGCTTCCTCAGTGGAGGCCCCTGGAGACACAAAGAAGGAGGATGCAGAGGTCAAAATTATGTGGCATCCCCCAAGGTCAGCTTTCTCCAGCACTTAAAGGGAGGCTTCTCAGTGAGTTTTGTCACTGGGGAATCACAACGGACTCTGCCATAGTTTAACCACTCCCTTCTCTATACTATTTCAAATGTCGAACTTTTCGCACGGCATTATAATTTGTCTAGGTGTCAGACTGTCTCCACTACTAGGATATAAGCTCCTTAAGAATAGGGCCTATGTGTCTGTCATCTCTGTGCTACAGTGCTTCTCACTGTTCTAGGCAACAACAGTAATCGCTAACCTATTATATGTGAGCCATTGTCTCATGTGTTTGAATATAGTGGATGTTTGGTCAATGTTAGTTGATAAAAGAGTAAATTATTATTCCCATGTTTCAGGAGAAGTAACTGAGGGTCATAAAAGGAAAATAACTTGCTGAAAGTCACATAATTAGGAAATGGCATGGTCAAAATTAAACATAGCTATGCCTCTGTTATGTGCTCCTTATGGGTCATGCCAAGAGAGGCTGTTGTTCTTTTGTTGCTTAGAGTAGAATCCTGTTGAATTTGAACTCAATAGCAGGAAATAGGAGAAGTCTTACATAGAACTGATTATATGCCAACCACTTCTCATATAGTCACTGATGATAATGGGTATTATTATCATTATGTTACAGAAAAAGACGCTGAAGCCTGGAGAGGATACCTGGAACTTCTCAAGTCACACAGCTCCTGAATGGCAGAGACAGAATTCAAACCCAGTTGGTCAGACTCTTGAGTCTATACTTGATCATTAATATACCGACTGTTCAGGTACCTTAAAAAGGTAAGGAAAATAATATAATAAATACCTATGTACCTATTACTCAACATATGAAATACAACATTACCCCATGTACTGATTACATTCTCCTGAGTTTGATGGCTATCATTCATATGCATGTCTTTAGGTTTCTTGCATATATGAAAATTCTGTACAATATACAATATTATTTCCATGTAGTTATACTTATAAAAATGACATTCCTCAGCAGCTCTTTGAATATCTACTCTGTGCCAACCGCTCTTTTAAGTACAGAGAAAACAGAAGTGACAGAACAAATCCTTGCTCTCATGAAATTTAATTCTGAAGTGGGGAGACAGACAATAAAGCATAAACAAAGCAATACATAATCTAGCTGGTGGTAATAAGCAAAACAGTAATACACAGTCAGGGATAAAGAGAGATAGGGCTGTGGAAAAAGATGAAATCCTCTTTTATCAAGAGATATTTGAGCAGATATCTAAAAGAAATGAAAGTGGTATCCTACTCTTTAAGGAAAAAAAAAAAAAAACTCTTGCCAGTGTGGAGAATAGATGGCAGTGGGCCAGGAATGGAAACAGCTCTGTTGCAGAAAGTCCAGATGAGAGATAATAGTGGCTTGGATTGTTGAGGAGGTAATAAGTGGTCAGATTTTGCTCCTACTTTGAAAGTAGCATTTATATTTATAAAAGAAATGTCCTGGAATTTTCTTTTCTTGGTTTGTCCTTATGTTTTGGGAATCAAGATTTCATTAGCCTGGGCGGAGGGTATAGCTCAGTGGGAGAGTGCCTGCCTAGCGTTCAATGGGTTCAATGCCCAGTACCTCCATTAAATAAACAAACCTAATTACCCACACCAAAAGAAACAAGAAAAGAAACAAGAAAAAGAAGATTTCGTTAGCCTCATAACACAAAGGCATTTTTGTTCCACCTTTAGGAAAACTTGGATCAAGTAAGAACTAACCTTTCCATGACATACTGATAGAAGTCACTGTAAAGTCATTCAGGCCTGGGATAATTTGGGGGTGGGGTGGGGTGGAGCGGAGGTCTTTGACTATCATTCTGATTTTTTTTTTAATTCTTAGTGTTTTCTTCAAATTCTCACTTTTTAATTTCAGCATCTTATGTTTCTTTGAATTTTTCCATTTCGTCAAAGTTTTCAAATTTGTTAGTGTGGACATGTTTGTGTTACTGTATCTACATTTTTATTGCTTTTCTCATTTTGTATTTCATTTATTTTCACATTCTCTCTTTTTTATTTGTTAGTCTTGCATGACTAATTAAACTTTTTGAAGAACGAGGTCTGGGGTTTTAAAAAACCTTCGCTGATTTTTATTATCATTGTCATTTTTGTCTATTTCAAAAGGTTACTTATGCCTATGAGACAAGAAGTAGTATTTCCTTACTTTTTGTTTTTCTAGATGTTCTCTACTGCTTTCCCCCACGCAACATTTTAATTGAATGCTAGTTAATACATGCTCCTGTCTCAAAATCCCAAAAGTACAAAACATTTTATGGTGACAACCCATCCGTGTCCCTGTATGCTCAGTTCTTACCATGGTATCCACAGGTGAGTACTCTTCTTAGTTTCTCACATGTCATCATAGAACGTCTTCGTGCATATACTAAAAGGTATATCATTTCCCTACTCTTTTAGTAAAAGGTTGCATATTATAAATGCTCATCCTCTCTTTTCTTTTTCACTTAATAATATATTTTTATAGATTTTTCCATAAAATAATTTCTAATATTTTATACCTGCACAATGTTAGATGAATTTTTCCCAATCATTCTCCTATTAATAGTCTTTGGGTTGTTTCTCATTTTTTGTTTTTATAAAGGATGTTTGTAACAGACATCACTTGGATCTTTTCAGTCTCACCTTTTTTATTATTCATTACTTTTACCTTTTTCATTATTTTTACCCCTCGTGCTCCTGTAGTGACCCATCCAGCATGAGCTATGGCTCACTACAACCAGACTGTGCCTTGTCCCTTGTCTAAGACTTCCACCTCCTGACTTAGGGTGCCCCTGTTGCTCCTGAAGCATGAGCTGTCCCAGGGCAGGGACTCATGCCTTCAAACCAAAATTGCAGGAAAGTAGATCTCAAAGAGAATCACAGAGAGTGAATCTTAGAACAATGGGAGATGGAAGCCAGAAGAAAAATGATCCACCCTTCCTCCTTCCCTCCATCCCTCAGACTGTCCTGACATGCAGTATTTCATACGCTCTTAGGATCCTGCAAGATCAAGCAATGAGTTTGTTTGAAACCAGGTGGTAGGCCGCTCAGTAATATACCTTGTGCTGCCGTCCCTGCCTCTTTCCTCCTTTCCTTCACTCCTGGTCTTCCACTCTCCGGTCAAGTAGCAACATGTAAGTGTTTGCCTCTGGCTCTATGCTCTGGAGCTCTCTGACTAAGGCTGCTGGAACCAAGACTAACCCTTGAAAGCAAACTTCTCAGCATAGGATTTTGGAGTTGTTTGTTCTCTCCAGTCTGATACCAACAGGGACCCTACTGCTGACGGTCAGTGGAGGTGGCAATAACTGCCGCTTGCAGTAGGATCAGAATCACTAAGACTTTCATCTAGGGTGACCTGGGATGGGGTACAGGAGAAACTGAGGCTCTGGCATGTGCTGCAGCTGTAGTACATCTGATGTCTCAGGGATGTGGGAACAATGGCAAGCACGAGGATTACGGAGGAGACTGGGTCCTGTTCACAGCACTGGGCAACCCAGATAAGGCCACGATGAGCCAGCTGCCACTCAGATGGTCTGAGGGGCACAGGCTGCCTATTAAGCTATCGTTTCTCAGCTCCAGTCCTGCTTTTCTATGCTTTGCTTTCTGATGCTCTATGAGCTGTGTTTCTGTTGTAGCAGCGGGCTCCCTGTTAGGGTTTTCCAAAAGGGAACACTAGGGGGAGACTGAAAGCCTGGAGGAGAAATGACCAGCTCTTCCCGTTTTGTGCTCTGCACCTGTCAAAGTCACCCCCTCAGAGATACCCGCTTCCAGCACCCCTCCTCAGAGACCTGAGTTCCTGCTATGTGGAGGCTCTCCAAGCCTCGAGGTTTCAATAAATCCATCATCTTTCCTTTGCTCCACAGCCCCTAGAATGCTGGCTTTTTTCGATGCCATTATTTCTGTGTAATCTCTATGTATTCCTTTTGCTTTTTCAGTCTTTTGGTATCCATTTAACCAATTCTTTATGATACACTGTTTCTTACATAACTGAACTGAGTCAAATAAATGGAAAGGGGTACCCTTTCCAGAGATTATGGAAGCAGTGTGTTAGCGTGAAGTGGTTCTAATAGCTTACTTGCAGGCTAGTTACTAGATGGTGTCCTGGCCCAAATCCAGTTTACAGCTGATTCAGTGAGTCCACAGATCCATCTTGTGGTAATTTTCCTTGTCTTGAATGTATAATTGAAATAAAGATTCTTGGCACAAAGAGAACTCTAACATTTGACTATAGATTTTCAAAGTAAGTACCATAATGCTAGTAAAGAGCCAAGAGAAAGTCCTTGAAACTGTCACCCACCTTTGGCAAAGATAGTAAGTCTGAAGCAATACCATCCAAGAGGAATTGCAGAGATTAACGCCACTGTAAGACTGAAAGGATACAGGAATGGTACTCTCTCTCATCTCAAGGATTAGTTCTGGCTCCTGTAAAAGAAATATGGACAATGGGGGATATCATTAGAATATCATAAATATAAACAGGTGGTAGTTCCAACTGCAGCTGCCATGCCAAATATGGTAGCTTTGTTGGAGAAGATTAACCACTGGGGTTCAGCATCCAACTATTGATTTGATAAATGTGTTTATCAATCACAATCAGTAGAAAGGATCAAAAGCAGTTTGCTTGCAGAGAGCAAAGACAAACTTATTGTCTTGATCTAGACCTATGTTAACTTTCTAGCTTTCTGTCATAATGTGTTTGCTTGCCATTAGTCATCTTGCTATTTCATGGAACATCACTGGTCCACTATATTGATGACATCATGCTAACTGACTCTTGTGAGCAAGAAGTGACAAGTACCCTGGATGACAGCCAACACTAGAAAGTGGAAGGAAAGCCCCATGGAGATTCAAAAGCTTGCCATATTTAGAGTTTTCTGGAGTCAACAGACAGGGCACTACTGGGATACCTCCTTCTAAGATGAATGAATATATTGTTGCACTTCACACCTCGTGCCACAAGAAAATAAGCACTGTGCTTTGTAGGCCTCTGGAGTTTGGAGGAAGTGCATACTGCAATACAGAATACCTCTCTGACACATTTATTGGATGACTTGGAAATCTTCTATTTTCTGAGAGACAGAGCAAGAGAGGGCCCTGAGATAGGTCCAGGTTAGGATGTCAGCTTCTCTGCCACTCAGGCCTTGTGATCCACTCATTTACAGTTTTCAGTACACAGGTCTTTCACATGTTTTTACAGATTTATCCCTAAGTATTTCACATTTTGACTTTATTCAAAATGGTGTTTTAATTTCATTTTCTGGTTGTACACTGATGGTGTACAATTATAGAGAAATACAATTTATTTTCACATATATTATCCTGTGCAATCTTGCTAAACTCACTCATTAGTTGATTGGATGACAGATATTGAAACTTTACCTTATTAGGCATCTGCTTTCATATTCTTAAAAAAAAAATTTTATTGCGTTATAGTCAGTTTACAATGTTGTGTCAATTTCTGGTGTATAGCACATGCTTTCATTTTCTTTTAAATATTTTTGAGATTTGTTCTGGGAGCCAATGAATTTTGAGACAAAGATACAAACAATTTGATCCTTTTATGATTCATTTCTCAGGTCCAGAGGAGTGCTCAATGGAATTACTCTCAACTACTGAGGCAACTTCCTGAGGTTGACCCATACCCTGTGGATTATGGTTTTTCCCACTCTGTCTGGTGGGACCAGGCACAACTGCCAGCACTTTGTGGGTACCAGACACTGTTCTCTAGCGCTTTTATTTGATTTTCATCCTAACCTTGGGTGATGCCTTCACACTGATGAACTGATGGGTACTCCCCTGAGTGCTTCAGGGGGATTCTGCAGATGTTCAGAGTTCCCTCCCTCTGAAGCTCTCTCATCTCTAGTACACCAGTCTTATCTAGGTCCACTCAGACTCTCAGCTTCACCTCCTCAACTGTGGGTGTCCACCAGGGTTTGCCTGGGTTACCCTCCCGGTGCGATGATCTGAAAACGCAAAGCGTAATTTGGGGCAATTATAGGGCTCACCTCATTTCCATTCTGTCTCTTAGGGACAGCTGTCCTTCATTGCTTAATGTCCTCAATGTTCATATATTTTGTCTGTATTATTTTTGGTTGTTTTGGGTGGGAGGAGAAATCTGGCTCCTGTTACTCCGTCTTGGATGGAAAGAGAAGCCTCAGAAGTGACTTTTGAGTAAATTTATTATTTATCTGAAATGTACAGCTATTTTGTAGCTTAAGGATTTTCATATTCTCTAAAAGTGGTGACATCTGCTAGTTGCCTTCTCCAATACCCAAATTCCCTTCTTTTCTCAGTAACAGAACACTGATTAAAGATGCACCTCGCTAAGACACACAGTTTTCATTCTCCCTTGATTCTAGGTGTGTGTATTTGGCCAAGTGCTGCTCATAAAGTTGTAAACAGTAATGTGTTGGACTTGTGGGATTCTCCCTAGTTTATTCCTTCTCCTCATTCTGCTGCTTAGAAGCCAAATGGAATGACTGGAGCTCTTGTAATCATCTTGGTCCATAAAGGAAATTTGTGTATCTTTAATAACTAATCAGAAAACTGTGAATGGCTGGTTCTTGATGATTCTGAGTAGCCACCACAGTAGCTTGAGTATGAAACTCCTTTTGCATAAACATCAGTTAACTTCTTTAAGTCATCATCACTTGGAGGTGTTCTGTGTATGCTCTGAAACATTCTGTCTCATATACTGAGTTTGCGAAGTTGCTCAAAACCTAAACCAACACTTAGAGACAAAACTTACCACTAAGAAAATTTGAGGTAGGAGAAATTTACCTGTGGTGATTAAAACTCATCATTTGATGTCTTTTATCTATTTTTTGACCATCTTAAATGCTCAGTGCTTTCACACTCTCAATCTCCCTGTTATGAAAAATTGCTTTCAAGAAAAGATCCAAAACTCATTTACTAGGGTTATTTTCATGTTAACAAGGATCAGCACTTTTATCTAAAGAAATTAAGTTCTAATAGTGGATTTTTCAGGAAGTAGAGCAACTTTAAAAAAATTACCAGGATTTTTTCAAGGACCTACCATACAGCACAGGGAACTATATTCAATATCTTGTAATAATCTATAATGGAAAAGACTGAAAAAGAATATATATATATATATATATATAAACTGAATCACTTTGCTGTATACCTGAAATTAACACAACACTATAATCAACTATACTTCAATTTAAAAAATGAGACAGTGTAAAATAAAATCAGAAATATGAACAGTGGCAAAGACATTTGAAGATATTAAGGAGTAGTTCATTTTTTATTACTGGGTTCTGTTGGTTTTTACATTTTCAGCTTTATTAGGTAGAATTGTTAGAATTTGACTACACATATACAACACATTGCACGTAAATACGTATACACAATACAGTGCATATTTTTAAAAAATGTACGTATATGTATGGTTCATTGTTTCTAAGAATGTTTGGAGCTTTAGCTTTTTGAACTTACATAGTTACCAAAGGAATAAAGCCAACCACAAAATAAGAATTAATTCAAAAAGATACATACACCCCGCTATTAACAGCAACATTACTGATAATTGCCAAGATATGGAAGCATCCTAAGTGCACACCAATAGACGAATGGATAAAGAAGATGCAGGATACATATGTATTGGAATACAACTCACTCATAAGAAACGATATTTTGCCATTTGTGGCCCTTCATTCACTTTTTTTTTTCACTTCAAAAACCAAAATTTTATAACTGGCATAAACATTTCCATTGAATCAGATACTGCCAGGTTTTTTGCAGGGAAGCAGGGGACTCTCTTGAAATGTTATCTGTATAGGAGCTTGCACTCAAGTGGGAAAGATGCATTCAGCTAATGAGTAGATTTTTTATACATGCTTCAGAAAGGTGATAAATATATAGCTCATAAACCTGCCTCCATCTTGAATTCAGAATCAGAGGGTGATGTCTGGGGGAGCTCCCATTAATTACCTCCAGTTTTCCTTCAGCCCTTTCTCTGAAACTGTACTATAAAATTTTGGCTTATATCATCACCACAGAGATGTTCTTTTTCCCTAGTCTGCTCTGGGAAGCTGATACGCTGTAGAAGATAGACTCTAGACTCAGCTGGCCAGACATCCATGTCCAGTCAAACTACTTACATGTAACCAATCACAATAGGCAGAGATCAAGAGACAGGTATTACTTAATGTATCTCTCATTACGAGCCCCTCAACTTTTTTATTCATTCAGCTTCTCAATGTGACCTATACACTTCCATTTTGAATATAGTTCTCTGAGCTTCTGAGGGAGAAAAAAAATCTGTGAGGTATGAGTGTTATTTTGATCAATTTTCTTCTCTGCTCTAGCAGGAATTGCTTACTCTATGCTAGGGGGAAAATAGAGGGATGATAAGATAATCCCTTTCCCCTCCTTGTGGGATTCACATAAGACTATAATTTTGTGGAGTTGGCAGAGACTCCCTGAGAATATCTTAGCCCAGGGGATATGTGTAATTCTTGGACCTAGTAAACAAACTCATTCATAACTCATATGTATACAATTTAATAAGGCTGCCAAGGGCTGCTTGCCTGGTTATGAATTTATGTGTATAAATGACAGATGCATAATACAGTTTCTTAAAGAAGGAAAATGCACTCTGAATTTTATATTTTCACTTGCTTGGTAAGTGGAGAAAAGCATCAGAAAGGGAAATACCCAAAAACTTGCAAGGTAGACTGCAAAGTACATTGAAATATTATTAACCAATGTATACTATTAATTCATCTATAAAGCATACATTTGTTGAGGGCACTCATTTTCCTTTCTGCCCAGGATACTCTTCTCCATGCTCTTTGTATGACTAATTCATTCTCATCCTTCCATTGACAGCTTGAAGTCCACCTACTTAAAAAGACCTTCCCTTGCCATCCTATCTAAAGTTGCCTCCCCTGTTACTCTTCATCCCCTTACCTGTTTTATTTCCATCATAAAATTTATCACAGGCTGTAATGATCTTATTTATTCACATCTTTACTTATTTAATGTCTGTCTTCCTGACAACAATTGAGCTTTATGAGGGTATGGAATTTTTTTTTGTCTCGTTTATCTCTGTAATCCACAGTCTAGCGTAGAGTCGGGTACCTGGGATAGTCTCAGTAAAACGTAGTTGTTACGTTGTATAAGCGAAACATAGAGTGAACTCCTATTACATGCCAGGCTTCGTCTAGTTAAGTGCCTTTGATTTACTCAAAGTCTTATAGGTAAAACAGGCTTATAAATAGTAAATATCAACAATATAGTAAGTTTTACAGAGGTACATGCAAGATTTTTTTTACTTTCATTTTTTAATAAAGTATGGTTGATTTACAGTGTTAGTTTCAGGTGTACATCACACTATGTATGATTTCATATAAAATATGAAAATATGAAATAATACACTATGAACTTTTTGTGTCTAGCTTCATCTAAAAACTTCTTCTATCTTATAGAAATATCAGTAATTAATTCTGTTTAATTGTTGAAAAGTACTACATTGTATAATACATGAACTTGTTCATCCATTCATCAATTGATGAACATTTGTACTATTTACAATATGGGCCTATTATGAATAATTGCTGTGAACACTCATGAACACATTTTTGTGAACATTTGTGTTCATTTATCTTGGGAAAAATATCTAAGAGTGGAATTGCTAGGTTGTGTGGTAAAGGTATGTTTAACTTTGTAAGAAACTGAAAAGTGCTTTTCCAAATGGTCATAGCATTTTCCATTCCCACCATGAATATATGAGAGTTCTGGATGGTCTACATACTTGCCAACACTTGATGTAGTCAGTCTTTTTAACTGTAGTCATCACACTGTCATTTTACGTTTGTAAATGTCATTGTCATTTTAATTTTCAGTTCTTTCACGACTAATTGTGTTGAACGTCTCTTCATGTGTTTATTAGCCATTTGTATATATCCTTTGATGAAGTGTTCAAACTTTTTAAAACCTTATTTTCACTAAGTTCTTTGTCTTCTCATTATTGTGGTGTCAGAGTTCTTTATATATTCTATACACAAGTTTTTTATCAGATATATGGGTTGTGAATATTTTCTCTCAGTAAATAGCTTCTCTCTTCATTTTTTTTGGAATGGGGATATGATTCCTTATTTATTCACTTATTTGTTTTTTATTTTTTATTGAAGTATAGTTGATATACAATGTTGCAGGTGAACAGCAAAGTGATTCAGTTATATGTCTCTATTCTTTTTCAGATTCTTTTCCATTACAGGTTATTACAAGATATGCAATATAGTCCCCTGAACTATACAGCAGATCCTTGTTGTTTATCTGTTTTATATATAATAGTATGTAACTTTTTCATTTTTTTTTCGAGATGTCTTTTGAACACTGGAAGTTTTACATTTTTATAAAGTCCAGTTTCTCAATTTTTAAATGATTATTGCTTTTTCTAAGAAATCTTTTCTGCCCAAAAAATCACAAAATTTTTCTCATATGATTTATTTTAAGTTAACTTTTTAGTGTGGTGTGAAGTATGGGTCAAAGTGTATTTTTTTAGTAAGGATATCTAATTATTCTAACAGCATTTCTTGGGAAAAAAATTACCCTTTCCCTCAATGAGTTATCTTAACATAGTAGTTGAAAATCAATTGAACATACATGTGTCAGCCTATTTCTGGATTCTTAATTCTTTTCTGTACATCTATATGTCTATGATCATGCCTCTCCCACACTGTCTTGATTAGCATAGCTTTACAAGTCTTGAGATCATGTAATGTAAGCCATTCTTTCTTTCTTATTTTTTCAAAATTGTTTTGGCTCTTCCAGGTTCTCTGCATTTCCATATAAATTTTAACATCAGCTTGTCAACTTCTATGTCAAAGTCTGCTTGGATTTTAATTGCAATTGCTTTGATCAACTTGGGGGAAACTTATTTTTGAACAATATTGAGTCTTCCGATTCAAATGCATAGTATATTTCTTCATTTATTTTGTTGTGTTTAATTTTTTCTTGCAAAGTTTTTGTATTTTTCAGTGTACAAGGTCTTCACAGATACTGTTCAGTTTATTCACAAATATCTCATGTCTTTTGAAGCTCTTATAACTCATATTTTCTATTCCTAGTTTTTGTCGCTAGTGTGAAAAATACAATGGATTTTTACTTCTTGACCTTGTATCCATGATTATATAATATTCGTTTATCACCTCTGGTT